GAAGGAAGGAAGGAAGGAAGGAAGGAAGGAAGGAAGGAAGGAAGGAAGGAAGAAAGAAAGAAAGAAAGAAAGAAAGAAAGAAAGAAAGAAAGAAAGAAAGAAAGAAAGAAATAGAGAAAAGAAAAAGAAAAGCTCTCCTGTCTGCAAGACTTTCTTTCAAGTCACTGATGCCCATTCTGCAAGTTTTGACGCTGGCATGTTTGATGTTCACACATGTTCAATGGTAACTACAGTCACAACTGCAGCCTGGCTGATGGCAACTGTAAAATGCTACTGATTGTAAGATGCATCCTGATTTAAGATGCACCAAGAATATGTACCTAAAAATAGATTAAATAGAGTGAAATATGTTTCCTTTCCTATGTAGTCAAACTGGAGGGTAAGGATAGCAAGGAATAAGATTTATTTTGCTAATAATTCACATTTTTATGCTTGTAAGTCTTTTGAGTGATAAAACTGGTCTGGGTGACAGATTACAGAGATTATCCCCATGGTCCAAGACTTTGACTCCAAATCCCTTTCACCATAACACATAATTGTGCAAACTCCTTTAATCATCTTGACATTTTTTGTGACATGATAAATAAGGATATTTAAGTAAAATATTTAATTATAGATCATCATATTATTAAAGATTCATTTTAAATATAATCTTTACTATTATTCATATGTATTTATTACATATGATATATTTTTACTTTTTCCATCTGACTATAGACATATGCTATTTAATTTACTTAAAATTGATTGTATAGGAGAAAACAAATTTCTTGATAAACGAGTTTAAGAATAATTTTTATCCTGAGTCTGGTTTGGGGAAAGATTATATATTTTTTAAAAAATTGAAATTTAACTGTATCTTACATCAAAAGAGACAAAAACTATTTTCGTGAGCCAATATTTGGTTTGCATTTAAAATAATCAACAGGCTTATTCTTAGAATTTTGTATATATATAAATAAAAGATATCAGACTGAGTTTTACAAGCATTTTTTTACCCTCAAACAACAGGTTGTTTTTTACCCCCAATTTAAAAAGAGCCAGTTTGGATACACTGGCCACCATATTTACTTTTTACTGATTTTTCATGTACAAGAGAACTTGATGTGTGATATGAGGCTTGATCAGACAAATGTAACTTAAGACTATAAGTTGAAAAGTATCTTGAGGTAAATTTTTAGAATTATTGTCATTTTAAAGCTTCTCATTAGCTTGTTAAACATGTATGTTTTTTTGTGTCTTATCTTTAAAGCAACAGATATAAAAAGTATAAATTAAATAATACATGGAAGAGAATAAAAGTAATGGGAAAAATGTCAAATGGTTAAAAATCATCCTGGTTGCTAGCAATGGTCAACTACGAGATAAGCCAACTCAGAAACCGAGTCAGTGAACACCATCAAACGGTCTCCACCCACCATCCCTCACACTTTCTCTAAATGTTATGTATTCGAAAGGTCTTAAATCATTTCATTTTGAAGTGAAAAAAATAAATATATATATGCTATACATATGCATATGGATGTATGTGTGTATTAACATCTTTGTAATTGTTTATTAACTGATATAAAACAGAAATGAAAATGTACTGGGTTTTGAAGACTTGAACCAACCCTCTGTCTAGGACTCTAACACCTTCCAGACACTTCAGGGTCTCACAAACCACTAGGAGGCCTGAGGACATTTTAAACAAGGTTCAAAACCATAATCATTACTAGGTTTAAATCCTGTAGTCTACTTTCCACCCCTCCCCTCAAAAAGCTTTCATTGCTTATAAAAAGCTCGTTGCCTTTTCACGTCTTTTCATACTTGTGTCTATAGGGAACCAAGAAGGAAGTCCTTTTGTTACACAATTAATTTCTTAGTGTCCTTCCTCTTCTACTCCACTAGGATGGTGTACAAAATTCTGTAAAATATACTGGAGAAAGCTGGACATTAAGGCCATTGTGCAAGCACTACAAAGGAATAGAAGATGTTTGTGTTATGGAATGAAATGCTAATATTTGATTGAAATTCTCCATTTGCGTTAGTATGGTTGGCACCATAGAGGCATTCTCTTGCGTCTTTCTCTTTAAGCTTCACTTAAGGGAGGGTTAAAGGCCTTTCTCACCAAACTAATCTAGAGTCTAAGATTATATGTATATAACCCACCTGCATACATGAATGCACTTACATCACTTATGAGACAAACGGAATTCCTAAATCAATTATAGTTTAGTACCTGGAATATCCGTAAGTACCACAAATATCAATGTTTTGGTAAGAAAGTAAGTGTATGTATGCACCTCAAGTTTGAAAGATGAGGGGGTTTTCTCGGTATAAGCATTGTCTTTTCTAAACCATACAATTCATCTTTATATTTTTGTCATTTGTTCCTCAGAACCATTTTATGTTTTATTTGCTTCATAAACAAGTCATGTGGCTTTTATATTTTTTTATCTGCTTCTTAAACAAGTCATGTGGCTATCATCTATTTTGCCCATCCAAGACTAGCCTTAAGCAAACATTTTAAATATTCTGAACATTCAGGTCCAGGTAGGGAACCAGTTTCCTATTTCCTTTTATTCCTGTTTTGTTCTTAAATCTTTTTTCCTATGGCTCTTCTTACCCTACATATCTTTAGGCTTCTCAGAGGATTTCTGCTCTGTAGAGATACCCTTGAGGCAGCCCATGTAGATGAAGGGGAACTTCACACGCAGGGAAGAAAAGACCTGATGGCATCAAACAGTGAATCCTTCCAGAAAGGAGAGAGATGCACTGGGCCATTTCATGGCTCCAACTGCGGTTCTTCAGTCAAGTTAGAGGAAACAGCTTACATGTTTTCTGCTTTTTCTGGCTCTCTTCCTAACCTTTTCTCTATTCTGAGCATGAACAAATTCTTCCATAAGAGAGAAAAAGATTCCTCAGATTCCTTAGGCAATCACTGGGGAAATAAACCATCTTAGGAGTTTCAGGTTTTCGGAGGTGCAAGGAGCATATAAAACTGTTGTTGGGAGAAATGAATCAGTATTTCATTTTTAACTGTTGAAGTTAGTGCAGAACGATGCAATACTGTATGCGGCAGTTACATGACATTTCCATTTGCTTTTCCCTGGGCCACTCTTTATATTTGGAAGTTTGCAGCGAAATATCTGCAATCTCTCAGGCAGAAACAACTTTCTGTAGTCCTAAAAGTCGCAGCTGCCTGAAATCAGTTTTGAAGAGGACTTTGTGTACCAAATAAATCCTTCTTTAAAACCCAGTTTGCCACAACATGGATGAACCTCGAAACCATTAGAATGAATGAAATAAACTAGATATGGAAAGTCAAATATTATATGATTCCAGTTTATGAGATACTCAGAAGAGTGGAATCGTAGAGACAGAAAAAATTAGATTGGTGGTTGCCAGGGCCTGTGGGGAGGGAATGATAGGGAGTATTGTTTAATGGGTACAGAATTTCAGTTTGGGATGATAATATGTTCTGGAAATGGATAGTGCTGATGGCTGCACAACAATATGACTGTACTTAGTGCCACTGAACTGTACATTTGAAATGGTTGAAATGGTAAATTTTATGTTATATAAATTTAAACACAATATGAAAAAGTAAAAACAAAAACATAACAGTGTAATCATACTAAAACATTGAGTTTTTCTCACCGAAGTTACTAATGAGATCTTTTAAGGTCTGAAAGGGTAGCAGAAAGAGAAGAAAAGATGATGAGGGATTAGAGAGCCTTGGTTGTAAGTGCTGGAAATAACCAATATGCCCTACTTACGGCTTTTCCATAATCTAATCATTTGCTCTGGGCCTCCCACTGACCCTGCTGCTACCAGGGCTCATTGTGAATACGAGGCTCTTACACTACCATGCCATAATTAGTTTCTTTAAGACAA